TCAAGAATTACGAATACCACGTCATAAATATAAAAGATCCGGAACCGATCGTGTCAAAAAGGACGAATCCCTCAGCCACGTGTGTTACAGGCCACCCGAGATGGACGTGATTGTGTACAATCAGCACGAAACCAACAGCATCGCGAGCAGCAGCGATGACGGCACCGAGACCCAGTACGACGCGGAGAGCGTGCCCGACTTCGACGGCGACGGCGATGGCGATCTGCTGTCGATCGACGGCGACAAGCTGAACGAGCTGCCGCTGCGCAGGAGCTTGTTTGACCACGTAGCGCCTTATATCGTGTTCCGATCGTTCGACTGCAAGGTCCGAGACAACGGCGGTTTGGTCCTGCCGCGCGAAGTGACGAAATATCTAAAGTGGCATCTCACTCCAATCACGCCGGTAATAGTGCGCCGCACCCTCTGGAATTCTGGCTATCGATTGATGAAGAAGTGCGTGTCTTGGTGCGGCAGCTGGGGCAAGCACATGAAGTCTCCTTGCTACAAGACGCTGAAGGAGTCGCAGAAGGTCAACCACTTCCCCGGCACGTTCCAGATCGGCCGGAAGGATCGCCTGTCGCGCAATCTCAGCCGAATGATAATAAAACACGGCAAGCGGGAGTTCGGTTTTGTGCCGCGCACCTACGTGCTACCGCAGGACCTGCGCCTCTTCCGGCAGGTGTGGGAGAAGAACGGCGGCAAGGAGAAGTGGATCGTGAAGCCGCCGGCGTCCGCGCGCGGCACCGGGATCCGCGTGGTCCACCGCTGGTCCCAGATACCAAAGAAACGCGCGGTCGTCGTCCAGCAGTATCTGTCGCGGCCGATGCTGATACACGGCGCCAAGTTCGATCTGCGCCTCTACGTGCTCGTCACGAGCTTCAATCCGCTCAAGGTTTACATCTATCCGGACGGCCTCGTGCGCTTCGCGTCCGTCAAGTACAACAACGACATCAACTACCTCAGCGACCGTTTCATGCATCTCACCAACTACAGCATCAACAAGACCAGCGCCAACTACACCAACAGCGACTGCGCGGACTCCCGCAGCGGTCACAAGTGGACTCTGCGGAGTCTGTGGTCCTATCTCGAACAAGAGAACGTGAACGTCGCCAAAATATGGGCGTCGATAAAAGACATAGTGGTGAAGACGATGATAGCCGGCGAGTCGCCCATCACTAGCCTGACGAGGACCAATACGACTTCGAGGTAAGAAAAAGTTTCTACGACTAATTTGCTTTCTATGAAAACGGATTATTATTTATTACGTTTTTAATATGTTCGTGCTGTAAAAATTAAACGATAAAGAATTTGAACATTTTTATACAATAAAAATTGATTACTATATTTTCCGGATGTAGCGTCTCTTTCTTTGAAGTAAAATTTTCCAGCTATTCACTTTAAAATAATTTTTGTACATCAAAATGCAATTAACATTTTTTTTGTGCCTATATGTAATTTGCTAAATTAATTTAAGATATTGCTGCAAATTTTTCGAGATAGATTGTTTTCTAAAAATTTCCACGCGCAATTGATATTTAATACCTCGTCTTGTTCATTGCTAATGTATTTTATCGAATTTACGCCCTCCCTTCCCTCTCACCCCCAAGGTATTCTTGCTATGAGCTTTTTGGGGTTGATATTCTACTGGACGAGAATCGGAGGCCATGGTTACTCGAGGTGAATATCTCTCCCTCGCTACAGTCTTCCTCGCTACTCGACGTCGCCGTCAAGGGACCCCTCATCAAAAACGTCTTCAATATCGCCGGATATCAACTGCCCACGAGCGTACCGCCGGTGGAGGCGGAGAAGTTAGCCCAAAGATATGAATTAGATCAAGTGTGCCAAGATTACAGACTGTATCGAACCGCCCTTAGCTTCCAGGAACGACACAAGCAGTCGTTGTACGTGCATCTGAGAAATCGCGAGGATTATCTCGACGAAATACTCGAGGATCTCATGCCCGATGACGTCCGGCACCTGATTGCTTACGAGGACGAGCTGACGCAGTTAGACAGGTTCGAGAAGATCTTTCCGACCACCAACAGCTACCAATACTTGCAGTTCTTCGATGTGCCGAGATACTACAACATGCTGTTCGACGCATGGGAGACGAAGTACGGCGATAATCGGGAGGAGGGCATCTCCCGATTACAGAAGATGTGCAGGACCAAGTATCACTTGGAGCAGGCGGTTTTTAGATAATGATCCTTCTTTCGGGACGCTGTTTGTGTCAATGGTATCGGAACATCAAAGAGCGCAGGAGCCGCGACGTCGTTCTCGCCGCATCGACGTCTTCATTGTGTGGAATTCCTTTTGTTTTGTACGCCAAGCGCTATTTGTTGTATACGAGTGAACATACCACAACCGTCGATTCTGAGAGAATGGACTTTATTATGTGCCTTTTTCCATGGTTGTCCAACTTCATTGTATGAAATTTTCTCTTTAATAAAGCATTTTTCTTTACGCGCAGTATTGTTAATGCGACGACATCGCTCGTCCTTTTCCCCTCGCTCGTTATTAATCAATGGATTCAGTTATATATTTTTGCTCGAAACAACTACAATAATTTTGTGTTGTAATAATGATTGTTTATTCCCAAATTATAATAGATTTATGGAAGCTGAATATATTTCAGAGATAAAACGTAAGGTTTATTTAAAGCTCAGCGTTAAATCAAACATTTCATTTAAAATTTGTCGTGAACAGCGCTTGTGGCGAACGTTTAGGAAACGTCAGGATTTCAAGATACTAAACGCATAAACAGATAAATAAAAAAAATGCGTTATTAACATCTTTTTCGTGATTCTTGCTTTAATGGCCAACGCGAAGATAATACGGACGCGCAGAAGAATGCTCATAAAAAATATGGTCCGCAAAACTCGCTGTCCGCCAACGGCATTACTAAAATAATTACGTCGCGATATGTGCGTTCACATATATTGCTCGCAGATTGCCTCAACCCTCTATCTCTTCAACCACTTTAACTTTTTTGAAATCACGCGCCGGCATAGCACGCAAAAAAGCACGTTATTACAAAAACTTGCCTTAAATTCAATGATAAGGAACAAGTGAGCATCGACACGACAGCCTGGAAGAAAGGAGAGGTTCGCGCGGGGGAGGGGTATCGGCCGTGGCAAATTGTCGACAAGTCATCGTACCGAGAACGACGAGATGTTTCGCGAATACGTCGAAGTTATCGAACGCCTAATGGCGAGGCTGAGCCGCCGGCGGCGGCGACGGTAATAAAAAGTCAAAGCTGCCGATGCGCAAGAGACTCTTTGCTAATGTAGCGGCCGTGCATAATTTTCGACAACAAGAGCACGAAGAAATAGCCGAGCACCTGCCCCGCCGACGTACAGAAAGGATTATTTATTGCACGATTGTAAATCTATGAATTCATCGAATACATCGAGTTTTAGTTTATTGATAAATAACATGAGCAATTTGGAAGCAAATTTAACAAATTAGTTCCATAACTCAAAGCGTCTTTTATAAAAGATAAGTTTTCAAAAGTTTCGTAATTTATAGGATGTGTGCGCTGAATGCTTACAGCTATATTTACGAATGCTCGGATGTGAAAGGCGAACCGTTCGAGATCCAAATGGTTTTTACGACGATAACCGCGCTGGGTTTAATAAATCCGTACTGACAATTTAATGTCTCTATT